GGGGGGGGGGGGGGGGGGGGAGGTGTGGAACCAGGTAGGGAGCCTGCTGGCCCCGCCAGCCCTGGTCTGTGACTTTTACTAAAAATAGCCATGAATAAAATGTAGCCTTAATCATGGCTCCCCACTCCACTGAGATATTTGAACCTTGTTATTTGTGTCTTACCAGTTTAAAACAAAGCTATTGAAGTTTTAAATATGACTGGGTGTAACCCTCTGCAGTGGAATGAATCCAAAATGAATTCAACTGTACAGGAAATCCAGAAATCAGCCACACTTCAATTGAAGACTTTAATGAACTATCTAATGTAAAATATCGTAACATTTTCATTATTTCCCCCTCCAAAGTGTCACATTTCATTGTTTCAAATTCAGAAAATACAGCTGATATGTACAACTGAAGATACATACTGTAGCACCATCAAGCTTATTGGAGCCTAACTACACCTCTACCCCAATATAATGCTGTCCACGCGAGTTAAAAAATCTTACCGCATTATAGGTGAAACCACATTATATCGAACTTGCTTTGATCCGCCGGAGTGCGCGCCCCCCCCCCCCCGGAGCACTGCTTTACCGTGTTATATCCGAATTCGTGTTATATTGGGTCGCATTATATTGGGGTAGAGGTGTATATAGTTTGAATGAGCCAGCAGCTTCCTCCATTTTTGAATGGATTAGTTTAATTTGCCTTTTAGTAAAACTCTGAAACTGATATTAAATGCTTTCTACAATGATACCCTTAAAAACAAACTGTCATTAAAATAAACACGAGCAATTTAAACTTTTAAGATAAACAGTTCAAAAGCCCAGTGCTAGTGAACAACAATTAAGACACTCACCTGTATGGCTTATCAGAGTTATGAATCCGTCTGTGATTTCGTACCCCAACATATGTTGTGCTTGCGTAGTCACACACATCACATCTGTAGAGTTTCTGGACTGAAGGCTTATTCCCTGTACACAATAGATTTAATTGTTTTAGAAATATGTTTTTTCTACTATAGGAAGTTCTAGGATGATAGTTTCAGCACTGAATAGAATTATGAAACATGCATTATTAACATTTTGAAGTGATATTTCAACACTGAAGGAAACTAGAAATGGACATCTATACATAATAAATGTAAATTTAGTTTACCAGTGCTCTTCTGCATGCTCCCTGCTATTTATTACAGCTATTCATATTTTAGGAAGTACATTCTCCCTCACAATCCAGCCTCTACCCTTCCCTGGTTCCTGCAGTCAGATCATAATCTCAGGTTTGTAATATTATGAAGTGATGCTATAGAAACTCCTGGGCTCGGCATTTTCACCGCACTGCAGAATCAAGTCAAAAGAAAAGGTAGGCACTAAGAGAAAAGAAACAATTAACAACAGAACAAACAAAATCAAAAGCTTCCTGAAAAAGATCTGGCTAGGAGAGCCATTTTATCTCCCACTCATACTCCATCATCATCTTAAAAGAGTTTGGAATATTCAGATTTAGGGTATGATAAAAACCATTAAGGAGATAATCTAGATTTTTGTAAGAACTAAAAAATGAGTGTAAACAGAGGAAAATATTAACTTTTTTCAGTCTGAAATATCTAAGTATTTCCTTTCTGGGACTGACCTCTCAGCCAATGTAAGACATTTAAGCTGTGCTTTTCTTCTTGCAAATACTGAAAGGTAGTTCAGATGCATCAACAAGGTTCTGGAGCTTGGTTACAACCCTTCCATCCTCGTACCAAGTTCTTATTAGTAGATTACATTTAGTAATACCTAACTGTGTTAGATACATACATGGGACTTGAAATGACCAGGGTGTAGATTACTGGAAAACTTTTCAAGTGGGACAGAGAGGAATCCCTGAACCAAAGTCATCAGGTAACAAGTTTTCCATTCTGGATCCTGACGTTTCCTCTATCTGAGACTTGTGATGTGGCAAGCAGAAAGGAAAAGTTAGTAGGAGGGAGAAATAGCTACAATTGAAGGGAGAATGTCCCCTGTCCCTTAAAATAATAACCGATTTTGAGACCAGGAGTACCTTCCTGCTGAAGGATGCTTCCACAGAGGAGCAAAGGTCAACCTTCTAGACCTTTATCAACATATGCTGATGTGGCAGATCATGTGGCAGCCATACAGATTTCCACTGTAGTGGATGATGCTCTTTCTGCCTAAGAACCTGTGTTGAGCGGTCTCTCATCCCTTCTGGACTTGGTTTTTTTTTTTTTTGTGCAGTTGAATAAGAATCTAGACATTTTCCTGAAATGGTCATTTTTACTAAGATATATTTTAACAGTACTTCTCATATCTACTACATGCCATACTTGGGTGTTGAGAACTGGGCAAATCAAGAAAGGATGATTTCCTATGAAGTATGAAGGAAACTTGACCTGGAAATGAATGATTCTGGGATTCAAGGACAACTTTGTCCTTTGCTGAAGACACAATAAGTTTCAAATTTTGTAAGAACAGAGATTTCAAAAACTCTTCTTGCTGACATGATTGTGACCAGGAAGCAGGTCTCTGCCTTCCTCCTCACCATACCCACACACAAAGGGGAGTTAGATACCATCAGGTTGAATGGATGGGTCATGACGGCTTGTAGAATCGTTAGCAGAGTCCAGATAGGGAAGAAAGGTTTACCTGTTGGTTTGGATACACGTTGCCATAAGGAACCTTAACCCCACCAGGCAACCTACAAGACACTACATGAGCCTGTGTTTGACATTGCATCTTGTGTTTCAACTTTAAACAATGATGGGAAGTCTTAGACTCAGGGAAGAAATCCAGAAAAACTGTAAGGTCTGGTTTCCTACATTCGATCCTTCTATTTTAACATGAGAATTTTGTCCTTGTGAATGCTAAGAGCATAAAAGGCTTGTGGTGAGACTAGGAGTATCCTGTCTTGTTTAAGATTTGCCAGTCAATAGCCAGGCTGTCAGGCTCAGGTATTCTGAAATGTGATATAGGGATTAGTCCTGGGATAGGAGTTCCTTCCTGGAAAGATGGAGTGATTTTAGCAACGTCTCTACTTAGGTCCATGTACAATGGCCTTCTTGCCAATTTGGTTTGGAAAAAAAAAACCCTGATCAATGTTTCTTCCTTTATCATCTCTTGAATTACTCCCAGTAGCTGAAGTAGGGGAAATGGGAGTGAAGAGTAGCAGAAGAAGGGGAGTCAGGGAGAATTTGGGGCTTACCTTGATAATTTCTTGAGTGGTGAGGATAGTCCAATTTGCTGAGTCCCAAGAGCTGAACAGGTTGAACCAGTTTTTGTGAAGGTGACTCCAGCAGAGTGTCCTCTGGTATGGAAGTAGGAGGGAAGGTGGATGCAGGAGCACAAACAAACAGACCCCCTTCCCTGGCAGGATTAAGGGATGGGAGCATTCATGGAAGCATCCCTTTCTGTGGCTCCTGACAGAGTGAGATTTATAGATTCTAAGACCACAGGGGATCATTGTGATCATGTAGTCTGACCTCCTATATAACACAGGACCATTCAACTTCCCCCAAATAATTCCTAGAACATCTCTTTTCCTTGCAAAAGGAACATCACCCCCATTTAATCTGAAAACTGGTCTAATTCAGGGAGCAAATACCCAGAAATTTCAGTCCCCCTAAAGGAAAGGAGAGAATGGAGGTGGTAGTGGGGAATGTCCTCACTGTTGCTCCAAAAATCAGCTTTAAAAGCCAAGACTGCAGTGGATAAGACAGGAGTCCTTGTGCTACCAGAGTCACAGAATCTGACATACATAGGGGTTTAAACGTCTGCTGAGTGTTCTACCTTAAAAGCGTTCCAGACCTTGGGTACAAGAGAAAGCATGTGGACAAGACTGAACTGCTTCTGTAATTTGCCAGAACTAAAGCCCAGCCCAAATGCCTTGACCTAAAGGAGAGGTCAGGAATCAGAAAGATAAAACTGATAAAGGACAAACAATAACAAAAAATATCAGAGAAGAATAAAGTAAGTCTGAATTAAACTTTAAGATTTAAAGTCTCCCAAGATCCAGGTGCCAATCAGCATTTGATTATAATCACTCCCCAAACTGAAATTTGACAGACCACATAAAAAGTGCTGAGGTTACTAATACTGTTAAGAATTGTTAGACATTCTTTTAATTTGTAAGCTGAAAGCTCTGATACTGTTACAACTAGCTCTATTCCAAATAGTAGGAATTGACGAAACAGGGGTTTAAATATCTGCTAAGGGTTCTACGTTAATAGTATTCCAGATCTCAGGTAGAAGGTGATAGATAGATAAACAGATATATATAACTTCAGCTAACAATTTAAAAAAGGGGATCCGAAATGAATGCTAACCTGGAAGCAACATTTTTAAAAAGATAAAGTAGCAAACCAATGATTTTCCAAATGTAATTAAAGAAAGTCTTAGTTCAAATTTAATGTCATAATATGCAAATATACAAACTTGTTCTTCTTGATTCTTTAGAGCAAACATTTATTGAGTGAACAGCCTATTTTAATTAGACATGCAAAACCACTTCCTCTACATTTCATTTCAGTTTGTTTCATAGTTCGACAAATAAGTGATGTGAAAGTATTTTTTTAAAATACTTTACATTAATTTGAGGTTTGCAGACAGCTGATTTATCCTCCAAGTGAAAACCACTCCAAAAGTGACTAATAGTAGAGTTTAAACATGCAAAATCAAGTGGCAGTAACTGGACCTCTAGGCTGATACTACCAAGGATTTATTCTGCCAACAATACATACACTTAATGGGCATAAAATTAGATAACTGTATATATGAACACTTAACAAAAAGTGACCCCTACATGCTTAACTCTGCTCTACCCATGAACTGAAACACATGGTGGAAAATTGCTCAATGTTCTGAGATCTCTACAAGATAAAGTGACATGGAATGATACTGGCCTACATTCTTTGATTCAGCCTTAAATTCATGAAAGCAAGGTACATCAGAACTTTTCCCACAATGCATTCATTTTATTACTGTAACAAAAAAAAAAAAAAAACCTTCCATGAAGTTAGCATGGCAGCCTTACTAAGTTTGTATTAACCACTTTTGTCACACTCGTTCATACAGGTGGATACATATCTTTGTATTCTGGAGATTAACACGATTTCAGTCTAGCACGAGACACCAATAAGGTCCAGACCACCCAGCAGAGCGGAAACTGTGAATGGCTTCTGCTATTGCACTCCCGCGTCAGTGAACTTTCTACCATAAAGTGTCAGCAGGCTAGGTTCCACTAGTGGGAATTAATTTGGCTCTGAGATATTTTCTAGTAAGTAATTAGGTATTTATTAGTTAGATGGCTTTAAAGAAACAGTAGCTAACAATATAAAAGGATACTGCAAATAATCTATTGCATAGTTAGAAGTTGCTAACCACCAGTCAGCTCACACTTGGGAACAATTACTCATACTAGTCACTAGTTTAAATTTATTCTTTAACAAAATGCAGTTAAATTATAATCCATCATATGTTCCGGGCTGTAGTTAAATTCAAGTTTGGAATTATTTTCCTTCCCTCATGATTTTGTGGGGTTTTTTGGAAGGGAGTTGTGCACTGTGTATGTGGGAAATGACAAATCCTTATTCTAGGAGCAAGAACAGGTGCTCCTATAATGCAGCTTATTACTATAGTCCATTATTAGGCATTTACAATCCAATCATATCCAGTGTTATAATGCTTCCTTTAAGTTTACTGTATAACATGATGAATAAAGAGACGTTTAGGACTGACTATTTCATAAACAAAAAATGAAACTGTTCCAATTCAGAATCTCTCATATAAACAGATGCTATGCCATACATTTCTTTATTTTGGGTAGCTTTATAGGGATGACATCTGTTTGACCTGATGGCATCTGTACTGCCATAATTTGATTGCAAATTGTTTTTGAAATAATTTAAGATTTCCAAAATATAATTTAATGAAAATTTAAAAGGAAAAACGTTTTCACTTAAATCATATCACCAACTTTAATTTGGGGTAAAAATCCATCTAAAATAAATGACTATAACATTTTACATAAGGTAAAAATGAGTAAAAATTATTAAAACATTTAGAGTAAATTTAAGTCAGGCCCAGCTTCCTGAATAGGAGTTTCCCCTAGCAGAGGAATTACAAGATCAAGTCCTTAATTTGCAAGAATTGCAAAAAAAAAAAAATTTTAAGAGCAAGATTTTCACAGATGACTAGCAGTTCTGGTTCTCTCAATTTTTGGATCTTCAACAGAAACACCTTAAATGGGGCCAGATTTTCTAGAGGAGCTGCTCAGCACCTTCTGAAAATCAGGCCCCTTTCACGTGTTTCAAGTTGGGCACCCAAAAACCGAGGCACCCAAAATCTTTAGTCACTTCTAAAAATCTTGGATTAAACAATTGCAACCATTGACAATGGTGATAATCACAGCTGTGCAAACATCTATAACAAAAGCAAAACCAGCAACACTTATGTTCCATCACTTCTACAAAAATGCTTATGTTATTTCTTTTGAAAAATGCTGGGTGTGCTTGAAGAGTGCTTTTTCTTCTACTAAGGAGCTCTTCCTGCATGCCCATGTCGCATCAAAAAACCAACCAACCAAAACAAAACCCCTACAAAATTCATCTAGCATTTTCTTGAACTTGGGCCTGAAGAAAGTAACAAAACACTAAAGCTCAATCTCCTGGAATTATTATATATATCCAAATCCCAGCTGGCTTCCAGGAGGACAAAAAAGTAGCTAACGGGTAATTTTATTTAGTGCTGGTGAGGTAAATAACTGATTTTTCTGACTTGTATATTTAATGTCAGAACCATTTAATAAGAGCCAGCATGGTTTAGTAGCATAATTATGGGACTGGGTGCCAGGAACTATAGTTCTAACTCTATTCTGACACTTACCACATGGCTCTGGGCAAATTACTAACAGCCCATACTTGCTCACATTAAGCAGTACCTTCCTTACTCCATGAGTGGTCCCACTGATTTCAATGGGATTACTTTTGTCCTTACAAAACATGAGTAAGGGTGACAGAACTGGGCCCTTAGCCACTTTGTTGTTATACATATTACAACACACCTAGAGGCCCGAACTGAGATCTGGGTCCCATTGTGCTAAGTGCTATACATACACACATTGTAGGAGACCGTTCCTGCTCCAAAGAACTTACAAACTAGATAAAAAAGACCAACAAAGAGTGGTAGAGGAAACAGAATGCTTTATTTATTTATTCCCCCTCATGTAAGCTGGGAAATATTTTTACCTACTGTACTTAAGTGATATTATGATTAATGCTTGCAAATAAAAAATACAATAAAATAATTTTGAAGTATGACATTCAAGAGCGTGTCCATATGAGTATGCTTATTTGATGATCCACAACTCTAAGTTATTTGAAAGTCAATTAAAACAAAAAATATTTTCTACATCCACTATGTATTTTTCTAAAAATATTTCTTAAAACCCAAAGGACATTAGTTCATAAAGGACTATGTCCACGGCAATTGATATTTAAAAAAAGAAGTGATCTGAGTTATCCCAGTGCACATACATAGAAATATCTCCACTGGTTAAAGACACTGCTTGTCAAATGCTGATAGGGTATGTCAAAACCATGCCTTCTGAAAACCCCCCACACATTTAGGCTGAGAGTAAGCATAACAATTTTCTGCCTAAAGGGAAGTTTTGAGAAACATAAGCTCGTAATACAACACACAAGTAGCAACACTATAAATTTTACTCTTTACTGGTATCTTATGTAAAAATATATACAATACCTTCTCTTTCATCTGCCTCACTGGAAACTATTAGTTTGTTAGATGTTGCTGTTGAGAGCAGATCTGGAAGACTATGTTGCTCTCTCTCATGATTTCGCAGCTGACTCTTTTAAAAACAAAAAAAACAAATCACCTTTCTCTACAATATTTAAGTAAATACACAGTGGTCACTTCATGTTGCACTAACTTGCAAAGCTATTGTTTACAGTTATATATTAGCTCATATGTATTTGCAGAATGCCTCAGTTAATTGACTAACTGTACTACATATAAAATGCAAAATATGGTACTAAGATGACAATTCAATGAATGAAATGCTTTTGACTGTTTTAAAGAGTAGACATTAGATATTTGACAAAGATATTAAACAGCAACAAGTTTTTTTTAAAAAGCAAAATCAATCATTAGAAAAAAGTGACCTGCTGAAGTAACTTCCTAGTCTTCTAAATGTAAAATAAATTTAAGATTAAACTTTTCTTCATGTTCAGATATAATATAGTAATATACTGAAACTCTCAAAGAATAATAAAATTCTAATAGGAAGAATTTCTTCTCGATGAAGTGAGGGGGATGGGGATAGGAGGGAAATAGGAGAAAAGAGGACTGGGTAGCTCAGGTTACTGGTATTAGGATAGAGAAGCAATCAGTTCTAATTCATAGGTTCAAATATGGACCAGGTCAGTAGTGCCTATGTTTTCTGGTGATTATCCAGTTGCTTAGATGAAAGATGTCATTCCAGTTTCTACTGGCCATGACAAAAATTCTCAACTATGGAGGTGACATACTTTAATCTAACTGTCATCCTCCCAAATTAGAACTGAACAGGACAAGTGGGCAAGTTTGCACTGCAATTGCCTGTGCTGGTCCCAATTGTGTGAATGACTGAAAGACTACAGTTACCAGTGCTACTGATATCTTTTCATAAGCACTAATTTCACATATAAATGCATCATCTGGCAACACTAATGTGCTAAATAGAGAGGCTAAAACTGTGACCGTGTCACAGTATTCAGCTCTGGAGTGTAATTTTTCAGATTTGGTCCTCTGCATAACATCTGTTCCATGAGGCAGCGATGAGAAACTATAGAATGAGAAAAAATTTTCGTGTCTCAGCTGGTTTTTCTGGGCTAAAGTTTCTAGAACAGCGGTTCTCAAACTTCGGGACCCAAAAGTGGGTCGCAACCCTATTTTAATGGGGTCGCCAGGGCTGGCTTAGACTTGCTGTGGCCTGGGGTCAAAGCCTGAGCCCCACCACCCAGCGCCGAAGCCCAACAGCTTCAGTCCTGGGTGGCAGGGCTCAGGTTACAGCCCCCCTGACTGAGGCTGAAGCCCTTGGGTTTGGCTCTCCCCCATCTTCCCCATCCCCCACCTGGGGCAGCAGAGCTCAGGTGAGTTCAGTCTCCACTCCTGGGGTCGTGTAGTAATTGTTGTTGTCAGAACGGGGTTGTGGTGCAATGAAGTTTGAGAAACCCTGTTTTAGAAGAACACTCTCTGGTTTTGCACCCACTCCCAATGAGGGGTCATGTTTGAGTGCCCTTTGAAGGTCTGATCTATTAGGTTATCTAGACAAGGGGTGGCCAACCTGTGGCTTTGGAGCCACATGCGGCTCTTCAGAAGTTAATATGCGGCTCCTTGTATAGGCACCGACTCCGGGGCTGGAGCTACAGGCACCAACTTTCCAATGTGCTGGGGGGTGCTCACTGCTCAACCCCTGGCTCTAACACGGGCCCTGCCCCCATTCTACCCCTTCCCACCCCCTCCCCTCAGCCTGCAGTGCCCTTGCTCCTCCCCCCTTCCCCCCAGAGCCTCCCGCATGCCACGAAACAGCTGATCAGGAGGTGCGGGGAGGGAGGGGAAGGTGCAGATCGGCAGGGCTGCTGGTGGGTGGGAGGCGCTGAGAGCGGGGTGGGGGCTGCCGGCATCTTACTGTGGCTCTTTGGCAATGTACATTGGTAAATTCTGGCTCCTTCTCAGGCTCAGGTTGGCCACCCCGATCTAGACTATCCCCTCCTAATGCTTCCATTCCCTCCTGTTACTGCTACAGGTTAACAGGCCAGAAGTAGTGCATTAATTGGTCACTATCATGACTCTCAGTGAAAATGTAATATTTTTCACAAAGAAACAGAGGACACATAAAAGTAAATAACCTGAGGTTGCAAGACATGTTGCAAGAACACAGTAGTACAAGAGTAATTCTAATAGTCTCCATTTGTAATGACATTTGAGCCAAGGTGCCATACTTTGATAATTCCTGTCGCTAACGTAGTTTAGTTAAAAGAAAGTAATAAAACAGTTAATTAGTAGCAAACTAATTCTAGAAAGATGCAAAGGAAATAACTTCACCTTATAATGAAAGGATTCTTCACATTGCTTGCATTGATACATTCTGGTTTTGCAGTGGTTGATCATATGGCTTTCTAAATCTTTACTATTGTCAGCTATGTGCTCACAGATAGGACACTGATATGGTTGCCTTTGACGATGGACTCTCAAGTGTTGTTTTATGTAGCCCTTATTGCCACTGCTATAATGGCATAGGCGACAGCGGTATGGTCGATCTACATTGGGTATGTACTCTACCAGGTTACTTCCTGGCATGTTCATGTCATTCACAGGTTGGCATTGTGCGTTGTCCTGTAATTCTTTCAAAATGTCATCATCAGAAGCATTCTGATCTGTCCTCTCTCTCAATTTTTCAATTACTGTGAGCAGTGACATACTAATGCCCATTTTAATTGGTGCTTCTGATAGCTCTGGTTTGTCCTTCTGTAGCTCCATTATTGCACAGTCACTTTGGTTTAAACTAGTTAACCCCTCTGGAGGGTTTTTAAGTGACGATACCATTTTAGAATGGGCTGCACAAGTGCCATCCATCTGTCTTTGTCCTGTATCTGCATCTAAAGAGTTTACCGCAGTGAAGGCCCTAAAGCTGGATCTTGTTAGTTCTGCAGCTCTGATAGGCATTGTAACAAGAGCTTCTGCAGCTAACGAGTGCAGTCTCAGAGACTCAGAATTTGTTCTTCTTCGCACAGGAGGGGCATTTTCATCAGCTGCTATGCCTTTATTAGAAATTAAATCACTATCTTTCTTCTCAGTATTGCTCCATCCGATTATTACTTCTTCAATTTCATCTGAGTGATAAACTTCACCAGATCCTTCACACACAACCTGGGATTCCTCTGAGATTAATTTTTTCTCAGTTTCAATGTCAGTGTTCATTAGAAAAGGTTTCTGTAAAACAGTTTCTTCAGCACTTGGCAAGCGCTCTACTATTACATTAACATGACCTTTCTTATTTGGGCTACAGTTAATGATTTTCTGTGCTGATGAAAGTAGGCTATCAGTTATCAAATTATCTTGCTCTGTATCTGTATCCGATATGGTTTCCTCTAACAGTTCTCCAGTAGGGGAAAGGGCTGTTGATTGACTTAGAACCTCCTCCTCTTTTACATTTTCTACCACTGGTGGTGATTTACATGACAGTTGCTCAGAACTACAAATCTGGAGTTGAAGAGAATGGTCACTATGGATGTCTAGTTCATTATTTTCTAGAGAGAGAACAATTGTATCCACACTATGAGACGTATGAGTTACAGTTGCATCTGACAAGCTAGCAGGCTCATTTTCTTCTTCAAATATAGGATAGGAACAATCAACCTCACCTGCATGTTTCCATGCATGGGTTTTCAACATTCTTTGCTGACCACAAGTGTAGCTACAAATTAAGCACCGATACATGCCATACTGCTCATAAGTATACCATTTTCTCCTACCCATTTCAGCTATAGGAGTAGACAGAGTTATGCCTTTACAGTCCAGATGTACTGCCTGATCAGTGCCTGCTTTGACACTTCCTTCCACTGGCCCTTGCAAAGATGAAGTTGAGAGATTTACACATTGGTGCACTTTTGACTGGTTTTTGCCATCATTCTCATGGTGAATTCTGACATGAACTTCAAGTTCTTCTTGATTTTTAGAAGCAAAGTGGCATTCTGAGCACATTAATATCACTTCATTCTGTTGACCATGTTGTTTTATATGTTCTTGTAGTATACAAAGAGATGGCGATAGAAATTTACATAGGCTACATTGGTAGCATATAACCTTTCTTTTACTTTGTGGAAGACAATTGGTTACATAATCTGCTTGTAGCTCATCAGTCTTTTTAATGCCAATAACAGGCAGCTCCATTGTTTTAGCTGGGATCTCACAAATTTCTTGTGTTTCAAAAGATGGCGTAGAAGCATTAGGATGGGAACGTTTTTTCCCTATTAAAAGGCATCTCTGTGACTTCTCACTTTCTACTATCTTGCTTAATTTTTCGATAACATGGATCAGAGGATCAGTTTTACATTTTCTATGATCTTCACTGCTTTTCAGTGTTGAGCCAATGACTGTTTCAGAAATCAGTACAGCTTCTTCTTCCCCAATATTTGGCACCAATACTGCAATACTGCTTCCCTCTTCCATAATATCTGAAAAAGTTTTATGAAATGAAACATTACCTTACTTAACAAGCACAAAGATAGAATATGTAGTCACTACTGATAAATATGTAACTTCCTAATTCTACTAAAAATGGTAGCCTAAATTCATTAATATTCTAATAATAAAGTCTTCCAGTTTTAGACTATAGAAAATCAGAAATCTGGAAGGCCTTATACACACAGCATTTTGGATACCATGTTACATTTTGACAAAGTATTTGTAGCATCTTTTCATGTTAGCCTACATCTGAATGCCTCAAACTACTGTCTGGAGTGGCAGAGTGAGTTAATGATTTTCATGGGTAAGTTGGCTTGTATTGTTGTGGATATTGTCTATTTCCCCACCATGATCACCACCATCTGAACACTAGAAACCCTACCTAAAGATACTGATTTTAAATGAATTCAGCACATTTAAATTAAAAAAGCAAGTTTCAATCTGGCATGAAGACCTACTCTTTAAATACTAAGTGCATCAAGGACCGTTTCTACTGATCAGACGAAGTCTTCTGAAATGAATGTAGGTTTGTAACAAAACACTTCAGAATATAACTAAAATTTCAGCATGAAATGGTTCTACTAAGCATTACCTGCATTAATCGTTTAGCTATGGCTTTATTCATTAAGATAGTACAAATGTAAAAAAAGCATATTTCTCAGCACAAGACTAATTTTCTAAGATAGCAAGGCAATATTCGCTGAACTGTAAAGCTCTACTGGTAGTGAGCATTTCTGAACAATCACTTTCTGTGTTTTAAGAATTGTATAGTTCTGGAAACTGAAGGCAATAACTGTTTCCCGTTTTACTTCCTTTAAAAAACATTAACCATAAACCACAGACCATAATGTGGTGTGGTCAGAGGTTAAAAAAGTGGCCATATTTAAGCACAAACATGGTTTGAGATTATTGACTGGGGAAAAAAAACCAAAAATGGGAATTTAATGCAGCATCATGTTTATAATATTACACCTAATGTGGAGCTGATTCTTTTATTCTCATTATTTTCTCCTGTAATAAAAGTTCTTTAGGCCAAATTAAACCTTCAGTTACACCTGTGAAATTCCAGTATCTTCCAATTAATTACACTCAATACACATCTCTGATGTAAAAGGAGGAAAAGATTGGCTCTAATAGGAATAAAAAAAACAGTATAAGCTGAATTTTCTCACTAAAGACAGTAGGCATGATTCTAAGTAAACACAAGGAGCAGGTAATATGGTGCCATTTTTGCATAGCTACTTCTTAGAGCAGGACCACACTACAAGTCAGTTGAAGTGTCTTTTAATAAAAGTATCCAATTGTTTGGGGCTTAGAACTTGTCAAACAAGTTACTCATGTAGAAATAGTATTTTTAGTCAATTGGAGAAATTGGATTGAGCTTTTTAGTTTAAGAACAGAACGAATAGCACACAGCACCACAACATTGGGCTTGTATTAAGAAATGGAGAAGATGCTTTTTGTTCACGAGAGACAATAAAAACTGCATCCTGTGCTGAATTAATATGAGGCTGTAGAAACTTATTTGCAGAGGATACAGTTGTCAGAATTAAAAAGAAGCATTTTCAAATTATGTGTACTGAATTTTAAATATTCTATTTACAGATCTCAAATATGAACCAGAGAATTTTTTTTAATCATATAGCAGAACAATACAAAGGTGAAGATTTTATAATAAAGAATCAGCTTCTATCCCCATGTAGCGTGTAGAAACATTGCTTCAATATAACTGAAAGAGACAAGTAGCTCAATAGTCTGTTCATGCCAGTTCTTCTGATGTAATTCCAGGTACACAAAAGTTCTGCTGTAGGTACTCCTCAGGAAATTGAGAAAAATACCACTCTGGCTCTTCACATATCCAGGGGTGGATAGTTGACATTAAGGGGGGAAGACAATGGGTGATATGCAGATAAGAATCATTAAAGTCTAGTGCAGTAGCACTATGATGGTAAATTGAGAATATTAATTGGTTTGAAATTGAACCTTCTGCTGCAGTTCACTGTGATACATTAAGAGGGAAATTAAGCCAACCTTAGCATTGGCAACAGTAATGGTTAGTAAAATAAAATTACAAAAAAAAATTATTTTTGTCCAACACATGGGAAAACTGGCTTCCCTTCACAAGCACTTCTCCGCTGTGTTGGGGGCAAAAACACATTTTGCAATTTTTTTTTAATACCATTATTGTAGCCAATGCTACAGTTCGCTTGCACATTCCCTTCCCTTACATTATAAGAATCTTTCTGAGAAAAAGTCATAGTTAGAGAGTATGTTTTTTTTGAAAAGCTAGACTATAGTTTTGTTCCAATATTTTTCCTCAGATTCTGTAGTGGACATATGTATATTTCTTACCTTGCTATATGTTTCTGAGCACATATTGATTTTTATTTGAACTGTCAAAAAGGGAAATACATACAGTACTCTGCACTGCGGTCAATGGTAGTTACACATTACTGCCAATTTATGGTTATTAAGATTTGTAGTAGTACTTCTCTATTTTAAAAGGCTTTACATATATTAATTTGAGGATTATTTAACTCAGATGAAAAGTTTCCTCCATGCTAAATCTTGGATTCTACTATCACAACTCAATTTCCTCTTGCTCTCCTGTCAGTACAGAAGATAAGTCCATTTGATTAAATAAATTAAAATAAGTGTGAATTTCAGTGCTTGGAGTTTTTTCAAATGATTTCAGTGGGACTACTTCCAGGATTAAAGTTAAGCATGGAGTAAATGTTTGCAGGACCAGAACCTTTGTAGGGTTTGGGGGTTGTTTTTTTGTTTTTGTGTATTTTTTTTTGTAAAAAAGTTTTATTTGCATACAGTTATACAGATGAGCAGTTAAAGAAAAAAAATTAGAGAGAGCAGATTGTCCCAAACCAGAAACTGTTATTGTATTCAGGTACTTGCAATACATATTTATCTCCCTGACAACAGCTACAAACCTTTTCCTTGAAGTATTTCAAATGTATAGGTCAGTGGCTCTCAAACTTTTGTACTGGTGACCCCTTTCACATAGCAAGTGTCTGAGTGCGACCCCCCCTTATAAATTAAAAACACTTTTTTATATATTTAACACCATTATAAATGCTGGAGGCAAAGCAGCGTTTGGGGTGGAGGTTGCCAGCTTGCGGCCCCCCATGTAATAACCTCGTGACCCCCTGAGGGGTCCCGACCCCCAGTTTGAGAATCCCTGGTATAGGTCATAACACCAGTCCCTACAGAAATGCTGAGCAGAAACACTTTCCCTTCAGTTTATATTGGCATATGATTAGTTTATTGAAAATGCAGTTGTGGTTTTTCTATTGTAAAAATGCTGAAGTTGAGAGACTCAGAAGAGGATGTGGAGAAGAGTTTCTAATTTTCTAAGACACTGCCCTTTCAAAAATAAGACTATTTTTGTCTTTAAAACATTTTATTTAAATAGTAGCATTTTCTAAACCTTTAAGTTCTATAAAGATTTAAGTTCTTATTTACTAGAAGCGTATATGCCGAGTTCAAGCCATGTCAGATATTACAGGAGGATCACAATATCAAATATAATTAAGGTAAGGAAATTTGCAGTGTTACTTCCTTTCATCCATTCATACATAAAGTAATTGAACCTGACCCTGAATATTTACTTCATTGCATCACATAAAATGTGAATTATTAGGACAAACCAGAATGATCTTTTCTGGATTATTATCAACATTAGATTTGAAAAATGTTTAAGTAATGAAACCACTCTTAAGTGGATAAAGCTTAATTGAATTAATTCAAAATAACTCATTTTTAAAAGATACAAAAGTTATCTTAAAAACCCAGACTCATTAGATGCCTTAGTAATTACAAAATAATTTAAGGGCTTGAGCCTTCAATCAGATCTATGTAGGTAAATTCTTTGCAGAACCCCACTGAAGTGGCAGGACTGTGACAGGAAATGTAGGCTGAAAGTACAGTTATGATGTCTTAGAAAACTTTTATATAGGACAAAAGAACATCATGTGGACAGGTTATATAACTCAAATTCAGTATCTTCTTGGTAACAGAAATCTTTGTGATAATGTATCTGTAGACAGTTATTGTTAAACTGAAAAAATGTGACTTATTCCATCATGAAACAGAATAAGTATGCTTTGCATTTTGTACTTTAATTTTTGATTGTTCAGTTGGCATAGAATGAATTTAGTTGTGTTGAATAACTACAACAAGCACAAATACATCCTTTTCACATAAAACTTGGAAATCACAGAAATGGCTGCCATTACAAGTGTCTTCACTTCAAGTTGCAATAGTAGTGATAATATGAGAATAAAAGTTGATACAATGGCTTGTTTTCCATTCTTTAAAATGTAGATTGGATTTTTTTAGTAATACTTATAATCTGAGTAAAGCAATTTCAACAGTGTTTTTAGCATAATATAATGCTTAGATGTGTGTCTCACATTGACCTTAACAGGTGCCACAACTATTAGTGCAGAATAAACAAATACTATCTATGCATAGTGCAAGATCTATTTCAGAACTCAAAAACACTCTGAGGGATGATGTCAACTTGAAAAACAGTCAATTTCTAAGGGTGAGTTAAAAGTAGTTTTAAGTACTATGCCTTCCCTTAAGTACTCCAGCTAATTTTTGTGGGTTTGCAGTTTTTGTTTTATTTCCTATTACGAAAATATTTTTCTACTTTTATGTGATTGAAGCACAGAAAAAGAAAGGGAAAGTTCCATACAGGAGAAATGATTATTTTACACAACATCACGCTGTCAAACTGAAAGATGATATTTTTCTCTAATCTTTTTCAATTATAGTTATTATAGTGATCTATTATAGTGATCCCTTGGCCCGCGCCGCTTCTCGCAGCCCCCGTTGGCTTGGAGTGGTGAACCGTGGCCATTGGGAGCCGCAATCGGCCAAACCTGCGGACGCGGCAGGTAAACAAACCAGCCCGGCTCACCAGGGTGCTTACCCTGGAGAGCCGCATGCCAAAGGTTGCCGATCCCTGTTCTACATCTTTGGACAGCTAAAGTTACTGTTGCTTACTATATTTACAAGTTTCAGTGGTAGCCATCTTAGTTTGTATCAGCAAAAAAACCAAACAAGCAAACAAACAAAAAAAACACGAGAAGTCCTTGTGGTACCTTAGAGACTAACGAATGTATTTGGGCATAAGCTTTCGTGGGCTAGAACCCACTTCATCAGATGTATGAAGTAAAAGATACAGAAGCAAATACATGAAAGGATGTGGGGTGTTTTACCAAGTGTTAAGTCAGTCTAAAGAGATAAATCATTTAACAGATAAAGGCCTGAATAAAGACTGGGAGTGGTTGGGTCATTACAAAACCTAAACTTAATTTCCCCAATACTAATTTCTCCCTACTGTTACTCACGCCTTCTTGTCAACTGTCTGTAATGGGCCACTCTCTTACCACTTCAAAAGTTATTTCTCCTCTCTTGGTATCCTGCTGTTAATTGATTTATCTCGTTAGACTGACTTAACACTTGGTAAAGCACCCCACATCCTTTCATGTATTTATACCTGCTCCTGTATCTTTTACTTCATACATCTGATGAAGTGGGTTCTAGCCCATGAAAGCTTATGCCCAAATACATTTGTTAGTCTCTAAGGTGCTGCAAGGACTCCTCTTTTTTTATATTTACAAGCTGAGCCTAGAAAGAAAATGTTTTATTCTAGATTCTGTTTTGCAGTGGAGTGATATTGAAGAGACCATTCCTCCCCCTAAAAACAGCAAAAAAAAGTTCAAACTTTAATTACTGCATCAGTAACACTTAGACAAAAGAGAAGGCCCCAATCTTGTAATCAGATCTATTAGTGTGGACCCATACTCTGCATGTAGCCCAGTTCAAGGCAAGTTAAATACTGCCTATTTGCAGGATTTGGACCTATGGGAAATTTCTCCAGACTGAAGTAGCGAAAGGTACGTGAGTGAAGTGCATATTTCAAAAGGCGTGACTAAGTTAAGGGCATTTGAAATGAAAGTTAGGTCTAGAAAAGGCCAACTATTTCTTTACAAAATAATGTAAAGCAAAAGCCACCACAACAGCCTTTACAAATCCCATGAGTAGGAAAACTTTATCATCAGAATTTCACTTTTACCAACTATTGATTTTATTACTTAATTTTCAGAAACCAAAGCTATTGACATGTCAATCTCAAGGATTTTGCTATCAACCCAACAGTTGTGAAAAGTTAGATCTCACAGAGTTACCATACATCCAGGCTTTCCTCGACATTGCCTCTTTTTTGAGATGCCATCCTCTGCCTGCATGGATTTTTCAAATAACAGGAAATGTCCTGGATTTTTGCAGAGTAGAGGTTGTAGCTTAAAAAGAGCCCTGATTGGTCCACTTCCCAATTGGTCCCACCCCTACATTGGCAGCTGCTTGGTCCACTCCTCTACAACAACAGCTGCCAGATCCTACCCACTCAGCTCCCAGCCCGGGGAAGGGGGTCCCCCTGGGAGGTGCTGACTGATGGTTGTTGCTGCTTCCTAAGCTTGTACCAGCTGCCCATCCATCCTGACAGGGAGCAATACTATCCCCCACTTCCAATGAGTACCCTTGCCACAGGTACCCTCTCCAGCTCTCCCCACCCCTTTTTGTCCTCTTTTTGGGAATCTGAAATATGGTAACCCTACATGACAAACTTCTCAAATCACTCCCTCTCTAAAGGGGAGGGGGGCTGGAGTCAAGCACCAGTTTGGTTTTCTTACTCCTGCATTTCAAAATCACTCAGTGGAACTAAGATTAATCAGATTTGGTACATTAAGATTATTACCTCAACTGCACTTTGGTTTCAGCATCTGGTTGCTCTCTCCTCCCCCGGAAGGGGCTGCTGGAACAACCCGAGGCTTGTTTTTCCCCCAAACCCCCTATCATGGTGGAAGGAGATGGGGGTTGGGGGAGGTATATCTACTCCGCCAGGGACTCTTGCAAACCTTCTCATTTAGCACATTATTTATCAACCTTCCTCTCCTACAGTTAAACCTTCTGCAACCGCCAGTCCAGTTTAGTCACCACCACCCCAGTCATTCATGCTGCAAACCCATCTCTGGGATAGGGAGAGAAGAGGCACAAGAAGCCGCCCAGGGCAGCAAACACCGTACAGGCTGCGTGAGGTGTGTGAACCCTAGGTTACGCTAAGGGGAAGGAAGGAGGGTGCTGGACGTTACGTAGGAAGCAAGGGCGTGAATTCAGACCCCAATATGGGGCGCGGGCACCAAGACCTCCCCAGGGGCAGCAGGCAGAGGCTGAAGGGGGCGGTGATGACCCCAGTTACACCACGGGGGCGCTTGGGGAAGAGAGTTTTCCCCGGGAGATGAGAGGAGGGGGCAGCCTGGGGGAGAGGCCCCGACCCAGCACTGCCCGGCCCCCGGCCGAGCACCGCCGGCCCCCGTAGACTGGGGGCCTGCGACGTGCCGCAGGAGGTGATAGCGGGGGAGCCCAAAGTCTGAGCGGGCGGCGGTGTTCCAGGATATGCACATGGGCTCTTCTTCCTGTCGCTCTGCTGCCGCCGCCTCTTTCCCTCCCGCGCCTCTTTGCTCGCACGGTACCTGCCGGGTCCTCCACGGGACAGGCCGCTCCCCGCCACGTCGCCTCGCTTCTCCCGGACCAGCGTCGCCTAAGGCTTTTTTTTCTTTTTTTCTTTTTTTCCCCCTCCCTGGGAACACTGCTTCAAAATGGCGATGATGGAGACGGGATCACGTGACCGTTGAGCCAGATCAGGTGATCGAAGAGTGAAAGTTCCCTGCCTCCTCTCCCTCCTTCCTGTTACCATAGAGACGGGGGCTGGCCCCAGGGTGAAGGAAAACCCAAAAGCCCTGCTTAATAGGGTTACCATACGTCCGGATTTTCCTGGACATGTCTGGCTTTTTGGGCCTCAAATCCCCATCCGGGAGGAAATCCCAAAAAGCTGGACATGTCCGGGAAAATAGGGAGGGAGGGAGAGCCCGGTGGTGCTCGGCCGGGGGCCGGCGGTTCTGGGCCGGGGGCCCAGGGGGTGGTGGTGGTCAGCCGGGGGTGCTCGGCCGGGGGCCGGCGGTTCTGGGCCGGGGGCCCAGGGGGTGGTGGTGGTCAGCCGGGGGTGCTCGGCCGGGGGCCAGGGCCCCAGCCGAGCCGGGCGGGAGACGCCAGAGCCTCTTGGCCTGGGCCGGCCGCTGGAGGGAGCCGCTTGGCCGGACTGGGCCGCGCCCCAGCCCCAACTTACCTGCTGCCTCCCTGTTTCAGGCTTCCCGCGAACATTTGATTTGTGGGAAGCAGGGGAGGGGGAGGAGCAGGGGGCAGAGGGGGCCAGAGTTGGGGTGGGGATTTTGGGGAATGGGCAGGGGCGGGGCTGGGGCCCCGTGGAGTGTCCTCCTTTTTTAAAATTAAAATATGGTAACCCTAGCTTACAGAAGGGTATAGGCAGCACCATAAGGTGTCACCTGGGAGCTCCATAGCCAAGGGGCAAGCTCAACCCCCCTGCACAGACATTCTGCATCCACACTCGCCCCTCATCCCGTATACACTGACATTTAGCATCCATCTGGCCCCTCGCTCTCTTCAGCATCCACACTTGCCCCTCACCCCCTGTACAGAGACATTCAGCATCCACACTCGCCCCTCACCCCTTCAGCATCCATGTCCATTTTCCTGTCCATTGCTGTTCCTTTTTCCATTGCTGTATTCTCTTTGATTTTCCTCCTGGTCAATATTAGAATGAGTCTGTTCATCATGATCTTGTCTTGGCTTCATTCTCCTCCTCTAGGGATAGGTAGAATCCCACTGAAGATCACCTGAACCTCCATCTCTTTGTGTCTTCTCCAGCCTGACATAGTGTCCCTTGATGCATACCAGCGAGAATCTAGCAGTATCCTTTCTTCCCACATGAAGGACAATCAGTGGATTCTTTCCTGCTCCAGTTAGGATCCTCTTCAGCCTCAGATCCACATCCCATACCTTAGCTCCCACCAGACAGCACCCCTTTCTGTTCTCCAGATGAGCTCTGGTGACAGGCCTCGGTCTTCTTAGTAGGGAGTCACCAATCTTGTGGACCTGCCTCTTTCTGGTGTTGGTGTGATTCTCCAGCCTTCCTGTTCATTCTGGCTGCAAATCCTCTTGTCTTTTGTTCTCCCTTGCAATTTTCTGCAAGTGATCCTCTATCCTCATGGGGCTCTGAACTCTGGCTGTCTCCATTGACTCTTCCTCTCCTTGTAGAAAGAGCTGCTCTTCTCTTGCTCCTTGCCCTTCCACCTTCTGTTACTACCTGCTGTACCCCTTCTTCATTTTCCAACTCAACAGTCCTGTTCCTGAGCTTTATTTACTCCTGGGGGAATTCTGCACCAAAAAATTAAAAATTCTGCACACTATTTTAAAATTCTACATATTTTATTTGTCAAAATAACTCAATATAATCACACCAGGTTCAATTATTTTTGGTCATTTATTTCAAAATACCTGTCAGCAAGTATGTCTGTAACAATACAGACAACAAAAAGGATTCAGGAAATGTTTTTTGACAAATAGATTCCTTACTAGGCATATTAATACAGATCTCTGAGTAATAATTCATTTAAACTACAGTACAGAACCATATTTCCCACATCCCTCAAAAGCAGTGCAAAGACTTGGGGGAGTCAGGGGTAATGGAGGAGGAGAGTGTGACGTTATTGACATAAACTGGTACCAGTGGGGCCAAAGCAGGTGGAAAGAAACATACTTCCTCTTTGATATTTTGGAATTTGTGTAGATCTCATGGGGTTTGTAAGGTTTGGGAGCAGGTCCTTATATTTTTTCCCACAGGTGGGTGTTATCTACATGTACGTTACAGTGATTAAGGCTCCTTG